CCTACCTTTGAGCAGAGTATACTTGGGCAATTCGAAAATTTTTCATCGAATGAATAAATATTGAATCAATTCGAAAACGAAAAATGTTGAACAAACAAATATCGAATAAATTCGTTCAAAAATTCTCGAATGAATGAATTCCGAATAAATTCGGAAAATCAAAAAATATCGAATGAATAAATACGAATATACTCGAACATTGGGAGTCGAATTTCGAATAAATATTCGAATGATTTATCGAATAAATAGAGCAACCATTTCTCAAACTTGCCGACATATTTGGCTAAAGCCGATCCATTCATAATCAGCACCCTTGTGTCCCCTATATCAACTCCTAGCTCAAAATTTTCCAAAAATCGCTGAAATCGATAAAATAGACTTTGGTTTCAATCAGCATCCTCATTTACCTCCTGTACCAACTCCCAACCTCGTAGCTCGAGATTTTCCAAAATTTGACAGAATTGATAGAGTAAATCTTTATTCATAATCAGGATCCTCATTTATTCCCCCCCCCCCCCTCCCCTGTACTAACTTCCAACCTCGTAGCTCGAGTTCTCCAAAAATCGACAAAATCGATAAAGTAAATCTTTATTCATAATCAGCGCCTTCATTTACCCCCCCCCCCCCCTCCTCCCCTGTACCAACTCCCAGCCCCACAGCTCAAACTTCTCCAATCAATAAAATTGATAGAGTAATTTTGATCCAATCAGCACTCTCACTTGCCCCCTTGTACCAACTCCTAGCCCCGCAGCTCAAAATTCTCCAAAAATTGTTGAAGTTGGTCGGTTGGCAACTAGTCTATTCACCAAGAAGTCATATTTTACCCATTATTGGACGATCAAAAAAAGCAGTCAATATAAATTTTGATCAAAGCTTATTCTAGAAGTACAGAATGCAGGGCATTTATCTTTTAGTAAGTTGTACACGCTAAACATTTGTGGTAAGCTGGCGTTATATTTAAAGACATCTTGTTACTGGCAAATCGGCTACGGCGATCTAAACGTCTAATCCTCCACTACAACTGCGATTCCTTTACTCAAAATAACCAATTCGCAAAAAATCTTTAAAGTAGCGAATAGAGGCAGTTTGCAATATAACATATGCGAGCAAGACTGCTCACTAGTGTGGACTTTGCGTACTACAAGCATGAGCAATGCAAAGGACGAAAAACATTCAAAACATTTTCAACGTATGAACTTGGAACATGAGCTTGAATTTGATAGCTTATCTGCTGATTTGGTGCCAGTAACAGTGCGAACAATCTCATTAATCGAAACGCATCATTTAAAATCCACATATGATTTTTTTTACTGTCGCAAGCATTCGAAAGAATGCGAGTCTCCACACAGTTCAGAGGTCATAACCAGGGTCAAGCAAGAGGTATGGCACACGATCGCTGGTTACGACCCCCCCCCCCCCCTTATTGCTGTCTTAATAAAACCCCCTGATCTATGCCCCTAAGATAGCATTACTTGAAGGCCTTGTCAAACATAATGGGCAACATATCCATAATTAGCATGCCAATTGACCCCTGTAGACAATTTTGAGCCATTCTGAAGTTTCAAGATACTGGGTCACCTAAGATAAATCGCCATTTTCCAGCATGATTAACTTTGTTTGAAAGGTGAAGTAACTAGCTGTTTTTGCTCTCAAGACAGAGCATTACTCCTTCTTTGGCCACTTCAAAAATCTCACTTCAAAAAACCTCCTAACTTTGGAATTGGAAGCCAACCAAGTCTTGTTTTTCCTTTTTTCGGTTTTAATGGTTGCGCTTTCACCAAATATTACTCAGAACTAAGAAGACGAATCAGGCTCAAATCACTTCTATGAAATCTACGAGGTTAGGCTTTTTAACATTCTTTCTTGCTTTTGTTTGCGTCTCTGAGCTTTGAATGCGCCTCCTTCCACTGAGTGCAAAGTAAATCGCGTTATATGCGGATGACCGATTCATTATTACGGTACCACGATGCTGTTATTTCCTTCCTTTTTTTGTGTTTGTCTAGCTTACACAGGTTGTTTTGATAATTGTTCGGGATGTAGGAAGCACGCCTTCGGGCGTACCAAATAAATAAATAAATAAATAGATAAATATCGATTCATTTAAGTAACGTTCGCTAAAAATCTTTGATATAGTTAATGGGGTGTGGCACCACCCCTCGAACAAATCAAATAGCTGCGTTTTTTATAATCATTAATTTTTTAACTTTCTTCTTTACATAGCAGAAATTTTATATGAAAACGTTTCTTTAAAAGCAAGACATAATCGTTTTTCCTTACCTATGCAAATGCAAAATACTGGTAAAATACTGTGAAAATATTGGGATACGGTAACATGCTAATTCTGCGCTACTACGTGAATCGCAAGGTAAGGATCCGGGCAGACTTTACGCGATTTGATCGTCGCGATCTAATCGCCAAGATTTCCATTCATTTTCATTTCACGTTCAAAAATTTCGGGCTGGAAAAGTATCACAACCGGATGCAAGATGATCGGCATGGAATGATGTTGTAACAGTTGTCTCGTCGCGATTCAGTCGCGACGATCAAATCGCATGAAGCCTGCCCGGGGCCTAAGGCGACAAGAATGTACATATTCGATAGCCTAAGCTTCGTAATCTACATTTAAGTGATTTAAGCCTGATTGGTCCTATCTAGCCTAAGATATTGAAAACGAAAGATGGAACAAACGAGATTTTGACTGGCTCTTAAATTCTCAATTTGGAGGCCATTTGAAGTAGGATCCCTAATGTGAGCAAATAAAAAGTAGTTCATTGTATTAAGCACAAAAAAGTAGCCAACTTACCTCTGAAACAAAGTAACATGTTTGAATACCACCTTCTCACTTAAGTGGTCCTATATTTGGAAACCTCAGAATCCGCTAAAACTTGGACCACGGGGGTTATTTTACTTGCTAATTAATCGATGCTCTTATGCTTTGTAGATCTTTATTATGCCTACTGTACGTATACGATAATGGGTCAAACATCAATGTGCTAGTAAGCTGCATGACGGGCCTATTTGACATTGTTAACGAATATCATGTTATTTGAACAGCGGACGCCTTGATAACGACCCCCCCTCCTCCCTGATTCCTCAAAACGACCCCCCAGGCATGCCACGCCCCACGCTTGACCCTGGTCGTAACGTTGCAAAAGATGCGTTACCGAGTTTTGCGAAAAAAACGCAGACGAAGTGAGTTTTATACTCAGTTCTGACTACGGAGTTCATTCGAACATGAATTCGAATAAACATTCGAATAAAATCTATTCGAAAACCCAGTTTTTTGATTATTCGATTTTTCGAATAATATCCGAATCTCTTTTTTGATTATTCGAGTTCCGAATATCATTCGAAAATGGAAGAACTCCGAATTTCGAATTTCGAATACGAATATATTCGAATGTTTTATTCGAATGATCGAATTTCTATTCGACTCGGACCCAAGTATAGAGCAGAGGCGCTGGAAGTTCTTACAAAGAAGGGAGAAGCGAGTGTGCTGTGAATACTAAACTCAATGTCATTGCCTTAATTGGTTTTATATTTTCACAAATTGCAAACTAACTGGTTAGGGATAGTATACAGGAAGGTAGATGAACACGCGAAAACGCAGGAAACGTTACATACGACTATAGGAAGGCAGGGCACAGAACTAGAATCTAGAAGCAAGATAGGCGTTGTTCAGACGTGATTAGTTGGTTCAATTATAGTCGACAGTGACCGCGCGAAGCGGAGTATCTCAGCTAGAAAATTATAATCTTTTTGGAAAACAAATGCACAGTATCCAAAAAAGATAGAGCGCACAGAGAGCGGTGTTAACGACAACCGCTTCGCTGTAAACGGAAACTTTGCACACTTTTGTTGAATGGCAAAAATAGGCGACTAGTACCCATGCTCTTGAGACACAATAGAAAGCAATCAAATTGTTTTTCTACATTAGCTGACGAGGGATTGGTCAGAAGTCGAAGTGGTCGGTTCAAGCAAGCTGCATCATTCGATGCAGCATTCGGCGCTGACTTCGAGTCTGTATTCCATATCTGCTTATCGCCTTTGTGAACGGAATGAGCAGTTTTATTGCAAAAAAATTGTGCATAAAAATTGCGATATTGAGAAGTTGTTGCACTTTCAGCTTACCTTAAGGCTTTGAAAATATGAATTAATCTAGCTGCATTTTTTGGGTTAGCATTAGGCCGGAACATGGCTGCCTGCCAAACTTGCGCTTTGCTTGCACGATTTCTTAGCAAAACTAGGGTTTTTTACGGTTTATAACTTTGTCCGCATAGGCGCTAAGCAGATGCGGAACATACATTCAAAGTCAGCATTTGTGCTGCATCTTATAATATGCAGCTTGTCTGGATTCGCCACTTCGATTTCTAACCATTCCCTTGTGAGTTTTTTTGTCAGAAGATTAGGTATCTGTTGATCACATAAACCTTTATACCACTTCTTTAAAAAAGTTAAATGTGCCAATTTTTACTTATGTGACAAGCAGGCAATCTCTCAGTCAGAAAATAATCTTTGTTAAAGGCAGTGGCTCGGCAAATCTCAACCCAGTCAAATTTTCGCTGACCTGAGGTTATTCAATATGCTGATCACGAAAATCCACTTTAGAAAGCTCGAAAGTGGCGAAACAAGCGTTTTTCCACCCCCTTCCCTTCAAAATTGGACGAGTGGAGCAAGGCTGATGACGCTGAATCGTTGCAGGACCCAATGATTATAGCATTGCGGCGGGCAGTCTCCAATGGTGAAAAGGATGTTGCCAACTCGTCCGGGTGCGCGCAAATTGGCTTGCGCGTGTAAATCTGAGAGCGATTTTCTCGACAGGGAAGGCATGTTTGCAATCGGGATTGCACTGTTTTCATACTTGGACGATAAGGAACCTACTGCGTTAAGATCCTGGGTTGTCAAGTTTTGCCGATCCACTGCCTTTAAGAATACAATACATGATAGAAAATGTATGGTTAAAAAAAGTTCGATTAGCGGAAAGGCATCACAGAACTTACATATGATTCCAGTTGAATCGAAGATCAGGTAGCATGAAAATGTAGTATAGAATTGATCCTGCTATGACTGCCAAAATTCCAATTCCTTTCTTAACATTGCTGCTAGTGGTTTGTTTGTGATCCAAGCTTTTCATATAATTTTAAAGCTGTGATAGATTTCTAAATGACGAAGAAATCTGCGAAGGCTTCTATCAACTGCACAGTTCACGAATGCATGCCTTATTGCATTCATAAAACAACAATTGGCCAATATTCAAAGTTAACATAGGCTGAGGAGAAACAAATTGGAAACAAACAACAAATTAGAAACAACTTCAAAATGTGACTCATCAACAAAGTCGGATAAGCGATAGCGTATGAAATTGCGGCTTTCTCATAGAACGATGAGAAGACGATTTGTCTGCTAGTAAAACATTCATTTGTTGTGACTTGCCAATAATAATACAGCCGGCATGCGAAAAAAGGCATTGTGTGCAGTTATGCCATTTAGTGCAATTTCATTGCATGCCAAAATTGGCGAATGGAGCACGCAAGCTATGTCAAAAGTAAAAAAGTTTTAGAAATCACTGAGAAAGTGAGCTACGTTGAAAGAAGAGTAAGGGAAGGGAAGCCGTTCCGTATGATTTTTCATTCTCTCCTCGTATGCAAATTTGTCAGTCAAATCCTCTCTAACCACAGTTGATACCTTGCTGTGCTTATAAGTTGAAATTGAGATGAAGTCAGAGGTGATTGTTTCATGGAGTAGTACTTGTTCCAAATTACCAGCATGGCAATACACTTTACAAAGGACCCATTCACGTTGGCCTTTGCACTTGAGATGTATGTGGCTTCTCTAGCAAAGATAGAGGACTATATTTCGCCAAAAGGAGGTGTTCTCACGTAGACATGTGCAAAGGACCACGTAATCTTATATATAAAGCTGAATGTCTGTTTGTCTGTATGTATGTATGTATGTATGTATGTATGTATGTACGTATGTTCCGAATAGAAAATTCCATTTCTGAACCGATCCGGACCAAACTTGGCACACATACACTTCGGGCCCCGGCGGGTGTCATAGGCTACTTTTCGTCATCGATCGATATCGATTTTATCGATATTTATCGATTTTTTTGCTGAGTTCACCTACGGGGCTGGGAGTTGGCACAGGGGGGTAATCGAGCATGGGGATTCCGAATACAATATTGGTTTTCAGGATTATCGATTACTTTTATCGATTTTATCGATTTTTTTGCAAAGTTTGAGCTACGGGGCTGGGAGTTGGCACAGGGGGGTAATCGAGCATGGGGATTCCGAATACAATATTGGTTTTCAGGATTATCGATTACTTTTATCGATTTTATCGATTTTTTTTGCGAAGTTTGAGCTACGGGGCTGGGAGTTCGCACAGGGGGGTAATCGAGCATGGGGATTCCGAATACAATATTGGTTTTCGGGATTATCGATTACTTTTATCGATTTTATCGATTTTTTTGCAAAGTTTGAGCTAGGGGGCTGGGAGTTGGCACAGGGGGGTAATCGAGCATGCTGATCATCCCCAAGGGGGGTGATCAGCATGCTCGATTACACCCCTGTGCCAAATTCCAGCCCCCTAGCTCAAAATTTCAAAAAATCGATAAAATCGATAAAAGTAATGGACGATCTTGAAAACTAATATTGTATTCGTAATCTGCATGCTCGATTACCCCCTGTGCAAACTCCCAGCCCCGCAGGTCAAACTTTACAAAAAAATCGATAAAATCGATAAAAGTAATGGACGATTCTGAAAACTAATATTGTGTTCGTAATCAGCATGCTCGATTACCCCCTGTGCAAAATCCCAGCCTCGCATGTCAAAATTTACAAAAAATCGGTAAAACCAATAAAAGTAATCGATAATTCTGAAAACTAATATTGTATTCGGAATCCCCATGCTCACTTCCCCCCTGTGCCAACTCCTAGCCCTGTAAGTGAACTCTGCAAAAAAATCGATAAAAATCGGTAAAATCGACATCGATCGATAACGAAAAGTGGACTGTGACACCCGCCGGGGTCCGAGGTGTATGTGTGCCAAGTTTGGTCCGGATACGGCGGAGCCGGGTAAGCCAGCTAGTTAGACATATTACAGACATGCATATTTGTACCAACTCTCTGCGCGAGGTGGAGCCCATCGGTGATATGTAACTTTTACCTGTCTAGCAACGCTGATCTATTCGCTATTTGCAAAGTGATTCCAAAGGAAGTCATAGCACTGTTTTGCAGAGAAGTAATCTGTGCAACAAAAAAAGTTTTCTTCTATTCATCAAGCTGGAAAAGATCGGCATGAACAATGGCTTATCATCACTGAGGATGCTTTTAGCATAAAGCACGCAACATGGGCCGCAACAACGATTCTGATCATCTAGTACCACAAAAAATCCATCAAAATGTTTCATTACTTCCTCTGTATCCTTGATGACTTTTTTGGAATTCTATATTATAACTAATGAAAGCCTTTCTTAGAAATTCAAATCTACTGTCAATTATGGATATTGGATTGTAACATAAGGCACTGAAATTAACCTTATAAACTTCTGAGAGTATAATCAGCAGCACGCTTCTGACAAACATTTTTCTAAACTTTTTTTTATTCCGGAAAACGTTTCAAATCGAATCACAATTTTCATTCCAAAAAATGCTAGAAAGAAAGACATTAAGATTTTCATGTGCATGTAAACGGGTGTAAAAAGATGTAATGTAAGAGATGAATAATGCTTTCAATCAGCAAATAGCCCTGATGTCTGTAAATGATTGTAAGTAGTTCTGTTGCTCTGCTGCTACTTAGCCCATGTTCAGAAGATGTATACGAGAAAAATCATGAATTTTTGAAAAATTTTATGAGACAACTTTCATAACTGGGCAGAAATGAAAAATTTGTTTGCCAATAGGCAAAATAATCTGTTAAACTCATGGTGTAACACAGTAAGAAAAAAAGCATTCAGAAGCCAAACAGTGGTTCCAAAACGAGAGCTAATGCAAAGGGTAATTAGTCTTGTGATGATGGAAATCGACAGCTGATAAGAGGAAGATAAGAGGAGTGTAAGTCAACAATATCAATTATCACAGTTACGAATGAAGTTTCTGAGCATTATTGGAAGATTTCACTCAGGTATTTTCGCGACTTTGCTTTAGTAAACCAACATTGTGCAAGCTCTAAAAGTTATGCTATTGACCCATGATTTCCGTCTGGTATACGAGAACCGTTGACAAAACCTTTTGGTTTATGTTGCACAAAGAAAAGACTGGGGACAAGTTCAAAAATTTTGATAACATTAATGTTGAGAGTTCCTTTTAGACTGAAATTTTGACAGGTGTGAAATCAATTTTTAGCAGCAAACTGTCTTCATACTACCAAATTAGCTCAATGGTTTGGCAATACAATACTTTCTATTTTGAGCAGATGGGAAAAGTGACATGACATACTACGATATAGTTTGCACCAGGACTATCGAAAGTGATACGTTTGCCTGGAAAACATGAAGGCATCAAGTATGTTGAAATTTTATGAGACAAACAAATTTTTCTATGATTGGTCTCTTAACACAGCTTTAGGGGATAAAACGTGGGGTGATTAGCACTTTGCACTACAAGAGTACCTTGATGCTGCAAAGCATTATCGCTATGAACTCATGTCTGAGGCAAAGCTATCAATGCACTACTTATCAAACCAAGGCGTTTGCTGTGTATTCATAGCGCAAGTAAAAATCAAAATATTTAGGTTATAGTTTGCACCTATCATTATCTTTGGAGTTGAAAGTTAGACGATCTGTTATCGCACTAATGCGTAATCTAGATAGCGAGGATAGAAGATGAGCACTAATTCACATCTAACATAGAAGATTCTAACGTCAAAAAGGATTTTTCTTTTGTCTGAGGCGATTAGTGTAAGCTCAAACTAGAAAAAACGAGTGTGGGCAACGTTGCCCAGCTACAATTGAAAAATGGTTTGTGAAGGCTTTTAACTCTTGAATGTATAAATGGCATCTCGTTTTTTGCCGCATTCGTAAGTTTAGAAAAGGGAAAATTTGCATGAATTACTTGATGGAAATTCAAAAAAAATCGATAGGATAAAGTAAGGAAAGTGTAGTTGTGTTGCAAATAAATGACACATAAATTTCAAATTTATCAGATGAATAGAATGATTGAGTGAACGAATGGGTGAATTGAATGAATTGAGTGAGACTGAACAGATGAATGATGGAGTGAATGAAGGAATGAATAATGAATGAATGAGGAATGAATGACGAACTGTTAAGAATGCGAGTGAATGATGAATGAGTATGCAAATAAGTAATGATAAAAGAATGATATTCCTAAAATTCCTAAAAGCTTATCAAAGGCATATGATCGATAAAAGAAGCACGTTGTTGCGAGAAACGATTCATCCTATGTCAAGACTGATAACGTCTCAAATAGCCATAATGTTCGGCTTAGTCAAATATTAAAATTGCGATTCTGAGTCATAATTTTAGTATTGGGAGGCAGATGCTGTTGCAATGGCCCAGCGCAAGATTTCCTCCTTTTTCATAAGAACGAAATCTCAACGTTACAACTGCCGAATCAGTGCTCCAGCTGTACTGAACAGCACCTTGATCAAAAATTTCGAGCCAAAATTATGTTATAAATGGAGTTAAGTTAATACATTGCGATTTCGACAAACAACAGAGACTTATACTATACCCGAGTGTAAAAATTCAAATTAGCCTTGCAAGGAATTTTCATCGGGGCTTGGGGTTATGAGCCGGAGAAAATTTTAAGCAACCCAAAAAAATATTTGGAGTGCGTGGCTAACGCCACGCACCTTCATCCGATATTCCCCCCTCCCCCTCCCTCCACGCGGACGAAAAATCTTGGGTACGCCACTGCTATACACCCTTAACTTCTTTGGGTAGTTGACTGTATACAACTTTAAACGCGAATGTCTGGTTAGAAAGGAATTCCATAAAGAAGCAAAGCTTGGCAACTTATTCCAACGGATAATTCCGTCATTTCCGAATGCTATGTCAACTTTCTTCTGTTACAGTGCATCTTTCATTGCAGAATTCTAGTAAAATAAAATTAGTCTACTGTCAGCATATATGATGTGCCAAAGAAACAACATCTTAGGTACCTGCCA